TCAATGAGATTTCGTAGGTATATTTCTTGTAGCAAACTGTTTAGCTACAGAACTATAGTTCCGTAGCAGTTTTGCTACGACGCTTATTCCGTAGCAATTTAACTACAACACACTTCCATAACAATTCCGTAACAATGGGGTGCGTAGCAAATTCCGTAGCCATTTGTTCCGTAACAAATTTCGTAGTCATTTGTTTTGTAGCAAATTCTGTAACAATGGAGTGCGTAGCAAATTCCGTAGCCATTTGTTCCGTAACAAATTCTGTAGCCATTTGTTTTGTAGCAAATTCTGTAGCCATTTGTTCCATAACAAATTCCGTAGCTATTTGTTCCATAGCAAAAATAGGTTCCAAAACAAATTCATAACGATAAAAATATTCAACAAAATCCAATTTCCATTTATAATATTCGTTGAAATATATAAAAATGCAATAAATTTAATTTTAATAGTTACATAGATTTTTATAGATATATTACATAATTGAAAATCCTTTTACATAGTTCCCTAATCATCAAAACTGAATATTCATTACAAATATTGTCACACAGTTCATATTGGAACCACCACAAACACACAAACAATCATAGATGCTCTAGAATACCAACAGCTTTGAGCACCAATTAGAGCAATATTTATCCCGACTTCAAATTTTTTATGATGATAACAGCAGATGCAAGTTTACATGAATACCTAAACAAGAAAATGATTCTTCTATTTTTAAATGCATGAGCTTAATAGAGTAAGCACCTAATATTGATAGATGTATGTTAAATACTTGAAGTTGTTGAATTCACGAAACAGACATTTTGGTCTTATCATTCACGAAGCTGTTGAGTAATTACCTCCTTCAAGAACTATGATTGGGACAGGAGTGGATGGCTTTCCTGTAATCAAGTTGCCTTCAATTTTTGATGATTTAAATTGTGACAACCATCGATTTTCAGGCTAGTCAAAGTCAAATAAAGTCAATAAGTCGAACCGGTCAACTCATCTAACCTTAGAATATTAGGGCTTGCAATATGTTAGCTACTGTACAACTTGCTATTTTAATAAGAAGTTATCACTTGGAAAGTTCGTATGATTGAAATTCTTAAACCCTAAACGGGATAAGTGAGGTAGCAAAACGATAAAACACTATTGCATACCCTTTAAGGGGTGTGTAAGACCCTTAAACATGGCTTAACGAGGTTTACGAACCTTGAGTTGCAAAGCTAATCACTCAAAAAGGTCACAAATGAAATCTCTCCCAAATTTCTCCAAGTATGTCAAATCTCTCCCAAATCTCTCTAAATATGAGAAATCTCTCCAAGTATGTCAAATCTCTCCCAAATCTCTCCAAGTATGTGAAATCTCTCCCAAATCTCTCTAAGTATGTCAAATCTCTCCCAAATCTCTCTAAGTATGAGAAATCTCTCCCAAATCTCACTCAAAATCTCTCTCAACTTTTTATAATCACTCAGGACATCCCGACCCTTAATTTAGTCGAAAACCGCTCGAAAATGGAAGTTTACGCGAAAAACAGCTTTAAGGAGGCGAACCCTCTTAAGGAACCGAAACCTCTTAAGGAGCCGAACCCTCTTAGGAACCGAACCTCCCTTAAGGAACCGAAACCTCTTGGGAACCGAAACCACCTTCCTGAACCGAACCTGCTAAGAGACCGAACTCACCCTTCGGTCCGAGATACTACCTTCGGGTCCGAGATGCGAAGCTGCTCAAGAGACCGAACCCTACTCTCGGTTCCCATCTACTTTCGGTTCTAATGGCTAGGACCGAACCTCCGACCCTGAACTTCGGATATTCGCAACTTTTACCCGGTTTTCAATATTTTTAGCGTTTTGAGCCCGTTTTTCGTGATTTTAACGCGTGATTTTCACCCAAACTTATATTTTGACATATAAGACCCCATATTTCCATAATCTAATCACATTTTGAGGGTAATCATTATCTAAGACTAAAAATATAGTGGGTAAGATATGGAGTGGAGTGTTGACTTATCCTTTGGGCAAGGACACAAGTTACCTCCCATACCCACTCCAATACCATCCCCAGTTACTATTCCACCATACCTGGTCATTTCATTGTCCTTTTTTCCACTCTTTTCAGCCAAGTGCCTTGACACAAGGATAGAAAGACCCTCATCTCTCCTCCCATTTCACTCACACTTCACCAAGAAGCAAAAACTCATTCTCTCTCACTATCTCTCTCTAATCTCGAAAAGTCCAAGGCTGATCACAAGCTCTTCGTCTACTCCTAGTAAGTAATATCACTCCTCGCATGATTATTTCTCCTTCTTTCTACTTAAATCATGGATATCTTACACAAACATCATCATATGTGTGTTAGATCTTCGAATCTTCAAGCATCTTCTAAAGTGTTCTTGAGTTGAACACTTCCTTTCTTCATCATCCATCTTCTGAAACCAAACAAGGTGAGTTCATACCCCTATCTTTTCATGTTTTCCTTAAGTTTTAAGGGGAGGGGGGGGGGAATACAAGTTAAAACACCAAGAACACAACTAAACTCATCCATCAACTCTCATCAGAAACGTTAAACTCACTCACGGACTGTTTTGAACATCTTAAACTTTTTGGTTTCTAAAACTGTATTAGGTGTAAATAGTTCAGGTTTATACCTTTAAAATGAATACTTGCACACGTCCATACGATTTTCTACTATTTATGGTGATTTTTACAAAACTGCCTATCACTGTAGCTACGAATTCGGACCAGTCAGTGAATATGAACGTTTTCACACCAGTTTGAGACTTTTAAAAATTATAATAAAATTTATGGAAAAACTAGACACATTTTCTAAACTCTAACTGCTTACGAATTCAGTTTTCGACTTCGTATGATTTTCTGCGATTTTTCTAAGGCAGTGCAGAAATGTTAAAAACAAATCAACAGCTTATAACTTTCATCACACTTTGTAATATGTTGAGCAAAGTGTTAATCTTTGAGGATTTCATATCTTACATGTGTTTCTTGTTGTGGTATAATTATATAACAGAAAATCCTCACTAATTTGTAAGAATCCTCCATCATTACTAATAGTATAAGACAAGGCATGATAAACATAGATATGTTTTTGCTGTACATTCGACTTACATAGAAAAAGGTTCTTTACATTACAAACACTTATGATAAACTATGGTAAGTATAGTTTATGTTTCATACACAACACCAACAATTATGTTAAACTATATAGGTATAGTTTATGTTTCATTAACCAGTCAAACTCATTACCAAGGGGTTTTCAGTTCAGTTCACGTAAATCTTTTAATGAATAAATTTGTGAGACGTTCGCTTCGTGTTACCTTCATAGTAACAAAGTCAAAAGTCCTGTAAATTGTAACCAGAGTCTCTTGTAGGGAGAGCGTGATAGTTATGTATAGATCTATATTGGGTCTGACAAGCCCACACCTGAGCTGCATGCAACAGCTAGACCGACACGTCTGGGGTGACAAGTGTCATTTAACTTGCGACGCCTGAAGAACGTCGTATTATGAGGTCGTCTGAGTCTTAGTATGGTTATAATAACTCACATGGGGTATTAACAAAATGTAAGGTTTACGGGTTTTACTTCAACAATTAAACGAGTTTATGTCGATTTAAACTTGCATAAATTACTTTAAGTATGGAAAAATATTTGTACATTTCGGTTTTGACTTTTAAGACTACAATGCATTTTATAAGAGAAATATTGGATTTTTCTTGAACAAACATTTCTTTTACAAAGAAAAGGATTTTATCATCACCTTCAAAAGCTTATGAACTCACCAACTTAATTGTTGACACTTTTTCAAAACTACTTGTATTCTCAGGAAATCAGTAAACAGGTAATCGGCCGCTTTTGAGGATGGAACGCTAAGGCGTCAAACATTGTATTTTTGTCAATATAATGTAATTGATTCAGAAACATGTAAACATATACTATGATGTAACTTTTTCAATTATATTTATGTTGGTTGTCTATACTTCGAGCACTATTATATTCGTTGTTGTGATACTATACATGAAGTCCTCCACCCTCGGACGTTTCCGCCATCCTAGGTTTGGGGGTGTGACATAAATGGATTGAGTGACCTAACTTTGATCTTTTATTATTATAAGATTACCATGATTAAGGCCAAAAATTGTAGCTGCTACCACGTCCAGCATTACCAACCATCCACTCCTTCATTTTTAAACTGATAGTGCAAATGTCACAAAGCAAGAAATAATAATCTGATAGTGCAAATGTCACAAAGCAAGAAATAATAAAAAAATGAACCAGAAGATGAGGAGGAAGCACGGTAAGCACCTAGGGCTGATTTGGGTTCGATCTTAGTTCAGGTCTAAAATACAAATAAGGACAAACTAATCACTGAATTGAAGTTATGATTTTTAGTTGAAAAAACAGTAAATTATCCTTCAAAAAAGACATAACGCCTATAACTATAAGCCAATGGATAAAGAAAAATACATTAATGTAAGTTCCACTCAAGCATAAAATCAAACAGGTAGTGTGCAATTATGTAAAACACATAAACTTTATATAATTCCATGAATAAACACAAATATTTCAGATATGGTATAAAAATCAAACGATACACATGACATTAGCTACTGAGAAGATATTGAAATCAAACAATAGCCATATAACAAACCTTAAAGGAAATCAAACACTTTCAGAAAGGGCAATACAAAGTTGAATATCAGCTGTGGAGTAGAAAAAAATATTACATGAGAAGGTTTAAGAAGCTGATAGAACATCACACAACCAAAATACCGAAGACGTACACTAAAATAACATGTACACCTTCAGATTGAGTTTTGATTGCTTAGCAGGCTTGAATTTGAATCGAAAATAATAAACTGGGTCCATAAATCGATTCAAGAAAGACACAAGACTAGGGCAGATAAACCTTATGGATTAAACTGTGTTGGTCAAATCGGAAACAACTGGGAAGCATTCTTTGATGATTCACTTCAACACCTTACGATCCCGTCTTCGAATTGTTAGTGGGATTTAGGGCAAGAATGGAGATCGAACAAAGAGCTGGCAGAAGGAGAGCGAAGCGGTCGTTTTATCATTGTGTTGAACGGTAAAATCAATCGTTCCTCCCCAATCCACGCTTCGCCGGAGCATGGACGAACCCTAGATAGAAAGACGTAGGTGGTGGTGTATGGTCCGACGATGACTCCATCTGAAACATCTATCAACGATTTTTGACTGCACGAAGAAGAACAGTTAATATGAACACCAATAACAGATTTAAACAAAAATCATCATAAATTCTTTGGATTTCTATAAAAAAGGTTTGAAAATAACCAAATTGCTTCCACTTCCATGAGTTCTAATCGACACCACACCACCGCATACCGACTACCTTCCAGCGATGTAAAGCCAATCGAAACTGGAGAAGAAGAAAAGGGGAGCAATGGAGCAAAAATCGAAAGATAGAAAGGAAGTGGATCTTTTTATCTTTTTGATCGTATGATGATAAGGCGGTGAAAAACTTGTATATACCCGAACTAAGGCGGTGGAAGTTGTGGTAGGTGGAAACAACCCAGCTCGGTAAAAAGAAAACCAAGCCAGTGGAGTTTATTTAACCCGAGGAACAGTACCTATGGTTGGGTACTGTTTATTAGAGTAAATAAAAATAATAAGAGTAAATAAAAAACTTGTATATACCTGAACAGTACCCATGGTTGTCCTTTAATTAGTATATATATAATGTTAATATATATATATATATATATATATATATATATATATATAATATATATATATAACAAAATAAAGATAATAAGAGTAAATAAAAAACTTATAATAATATGTAAAGACTTTTATTAATCATAATTAAATTATAATTAAAAATCATAACACAATTAAAAACAATAATTTATTTTTTTTTGGTAAAATATTTTTTTGTATTTTACTACGGAAGTATATTCCGTAACTAATTGACTACAAAATATTCTGTAGCCACATAGCTACAGATTTAGAAATTTAGATTTTGTAGTTATTTTGCAAATTCAAAAACAACTTAAATACACAAATAACAACGATTAACATTTTCGTTACAAGTTCAGTTGTAGATTAGCTATAGATTTTTATTGTGTAGCAAATTTTCGTCACAAAGTAGCTACAAATTTCTAGAATGTAGCCAACTAGCTACATATTTTTATTCCGTAACCGATTTTGTAGCCAACCAACTATGAAAATGGATTACGTAACAAGTTCCGTAGCAAACTAACTAGAACCAACAACCATGTAGTATATTTCATAGTAAAATATCTACAAATTTTGGTTTTGTAGCAACAATTCAAGATTTAGCTACGGAAATGCAACTCCGTAGCTATTTCCGTAGAAAAATAGCTACAGCCAGCCATTTTGTAGCATATTCCGTAGTATAATATCTACAGATTTTGATTACGTAGTAACTTTTTGTAGTTATTCCTAGTTTAGCTACGAAATGTAACTCTGTAGCCATTTCCGTAGCAAAATAGCTACGAAAAGCCATTTTTTAGCACATTCCGTAATAGAATAGCTACAGATTTCAATTCTGTAGCAAGTTTTCTTAGCTATTTAGGATTTTTCTTGTAGTGGTCTCAAACTAAAATTTTGTGATGATTTGGCTATTTTCTTCATGTAATATACATTTTATCGGTTTCATTGCTGACTTAGACACCTAGTCATTAAATTAGCTGATAAGATGAATACAATGGGTTATATAATGCTACATTTACTGTAAGATTTGATATCCATCTCGTCGGCTCATTTATGACTATGTATCTAGGTCAGCAATGAAACCAATAAAATGTGTGTTTTCAGGAAAAAAGGGCAGAAAATGAGTTGATGTCTCATGAGATGGATATATTGGGTTACATAAGATTAGATAGACAATTTGATATTTCTTATAAACGTAAAAAATAACGTAGTTGTTGCTAGTTTATGTAATTATTGCAGTCTTTGTTGGATGCATTTTATGTTCCAAAAGAATATACAATAAATCAGGATGTCAAGTTTTATGCTAAACATAGCATTATATAACTCAACATATCCATCTCATCATCTCATTTAATGACTAGGCGTCCGGGTTAGCAATGAAACCAGTAAAATGTATGTTACATAGAGAAAATGACCAAATCATCACTAAATTTTAGTTTAGGATTTATTCGTAAATTAGGATAAAATAATGACACTTTAATGAAACAGGTAAGTAATGAAACCGGTAAACCGGGAAAAAGGGGTCAAATCGCCATTTTTACCGGTAATTCATGCTTTTTCGTAAACAAAAATTAGTTTGGATCTTTTTCGTAAATTAGGGTAAAATTTTAGGACTTTTCTGGAGATTTCCCGCAACAAAAAGGGCAAAGTCAAGGACGATATTGAGACAATTGCAAAACATGAAATAGATTTGCAAATTTGAGTAAAATAAGAAGAAAATTTGCGATGTTATCTTGTCTTTTATATTCTTTGAGTTGCATATATTAGCAAAATTAACAATCATTCTGAAGGGAAAAAAACATTTTGCATGACATTGGTTTATGATTAAATTATTCTTTAAAGCTTTTAGTTGCCTTTAAAAAAACGTACGTAAGCATGAAGGTAAAAATTATTTAAATACATATTTTCGAAGATACTTGCCTAATTTAGTGTTAAACCAATTTTTTCATCAACAGAAATCCACTATAAAAATATAATGACTACTGTTAGTAAACAAATGACAAAGTTAACATTATGATGTATAATTATATTAACTTCTATCCAAACTAGAAGCAAATGAGAAATAATATAACGATATTTACAATGGTTGATTTGGCCTCTGAGTACGTATATGAGATCCATAACCTAAGTTAGCAACTAGAACTGAAGAAAAGTTCCAAATAATTTGAGTATACATTAAGATAGATTTAAACCACGTAACTTTATTCGACTACAAGTCGAAAAAGGAACTAGTGCAAAGATCGAGAACCCTATAATTTTTATTCTTCTAATTATACTTTGATCATAACATATAATTCTTCTCCTTACCAATTATAAGATCCACTCTGTCTAAACCCCAAATGTTCATCACCACCATCGTTAGCTGTGGTACTTCCACCATCCTCCACCGTCATCGTGAAATACTGTTGGCTTTGTGGTTGCCGGAACTGCACGTTATAGCCATCATTAGGACGCAGCGCAACCCCCGGGCTACTTGATCGAATCCCATCAGTGAAACTATATGTATTATTGTTGTAAGTGTTCAACAACTGATGAGAAGAAGTAACGGATGACTCGTTTGATAGATATGGAGTGGAAGTTACATCGCCGCCGGTGTTGCCACCACCAGTGAAGCGTTGGACCATGGCACGAAAGTTGGTGGCGTCGGTGTTGAGTAAGGTGGTCGGAGTTCTCCTTGAAGCTCTTGATCGTCTTCGACTATTTGTGGGTCTTGTTACCTTGCTGAGCTGATTAGAGACACCGGTGTTGTTGCTGGTGGTGGTGGTGTTGGTGACCACCGTCGCATCAGTGGCGGCGTCACCGGACGAGCTTTGTACTGTTGTAGGTTGGTTGTTTTCGTAGAATTGAAGCCATTGATTGTTGGAACTTGACATGGTTCCGCTCATATCATCAAAGGAAAGCGAAGAAAGAGAGAGGGAGCATAAAAAAGGATTGAAATTGTGGATATGATTTCGATGATTTGAAAAGAATATAATGAGATGGATATTTGGTCGTTGGTCAAATTATGGACTTTTCCTAGTAAGGGGAGGTCGTGCCACGTGGGTTTCGATGTCGGAAGTGGAGTAGACTTTGGGATGTTAGAGCGGGATGTTCTGGATGCTGGTTAAAGGCATTTACACCCAAGAGAGGTTCTTGGAAACAACCATCTAAAGGCATAATTGTTGACTTGTTCGTACCTCGTTATATGTTTATACTTTCCCCAACTAATCTAACGTCTTGTTTTGGAGTTCATTTTAGGAGTTGAAAGTTAAAAACTATCAAGAAAAATATGTTTTTCTGTTTCTTTTATTAAGGATAGAAGGCGAAGGTATAGAAATGGAGTGGAGTCCGCAAGAAGGAAAGTGATTCGTACACAACAATTTTTTACCATACACAATAGTTTATGCATTATTGAGTTGTACAGTACAACATTTTAAAACACCAATTGTTATGGATGGAGAAAAATTGTTGTATACAAATCATCTCCCATGAAAGAAAATTAAGAAAGCATCAAACGTGTTTTTCAAAGATTTATTTAATTAAGGGGTGGAAGGGGAATGCAGGGGCAGAACACGTCCGTTACAACTTGGGGGCCCGAATGAAAACTTCAAAATATACGTAAAGAAACGATCCATTATTTACGAGTATTTCCAAAAAAAAAAATTATGATATTTTGTAATCATCTTCCAATTGAGATGAGATGCAAGAGGTAAACGTGGTTTTAGTACATTACAAAAATGCACAACAACCCTTAGACAATTGGCATACGGCATAGCAGCAGATACGTCAGATGAGTATCTGAAAATGTCTGAGAGGACTGGGCGAGAATGTGCTTATCTTTTTTGTGAGTATGTCATAGAGCTTTATGGTGACATATATTTGTGACATCCAACTAGAAATGATATCGAATAGTTGTATGTCACACATGAAGCTAAACATGGCTTACCAGGAATGTTTGGCAGCATTGATTGTACACATTGGGAGTGGGCAAATTGTCCCAATGCATGGCGAGGTCAATTCACACGAGGTGATCATGGCGTGCCGACTATTATACTAGAGGTCGTTGCTTCACATGACCTATGGTCTTGGCATACATTCTTCGGTATGGCGGGGTCAAACAACGACCTGAATGTGCTTGGAGCCTCTCTGATATTTAATGATATTTTGCAGGGTAAAGCACCAAACATGTCGTTCGTTGTGAATGAACATCAATATAATTATGGGTATTACCTTGGTGATGTGATATATCCAGAGTACGCTACGTTTGTCAAGTCGTACTCATTTCCGGCCGATGAAAAACGAAAATTGTTCAAGTTAGCACAAGAATCGACAAGGAAGGATGTGGAACGGGCGTTTGGGGTCCTCAAACAAAAGTGGCACATTATCAAACATCCGGCACGGTCATGGGATAGGGCAAAATTGACGAAGGTGTTGACTGCTTGTGTTATTTTACATAACATGATAATAGAAGAAGAGGGTAGGGCTATTTGTATTTATAATCCAGAAGATATTCTTAACCCACCTGCAGTAATACAAGTCGGCAGCCCTGCATACTTCACACTACTTTTTGGAAATACAAAACTGTGAAACACATCACAATTTACGTTATGATTTGACTGAGCATATATGACAGAGACAATTCCAGCAACACGATGGCAATTGACGAAGATGGGGATGACGACGAGGAGGACGACGAGTAATATTTTCTATGTTTTTTAGTAATTTAGGTTTTAAATGATAATGTTTTTTTAAGTAATGTAGATTTTAAATTTCTGTTGTTTAAATTAATGTAAAATGTTTTTAATTAGTATTTATGTTTTTATTGTTGTTTAATAATTATTTTTTAAATTATTCTAATGTAAAAAAAATAAAAAAATAAAAAGAAAAAATGATGTGGAGTGGTGACCATTTCCAAGAGTTAGTGGGTTGGTAGTGGAGCTGACATGGCGATGAGGTGACATCACTTTTTCGATAGGTTGAATGTGACCATACCCCTTAGCCTTAGAGTAGATTTATCACTAATTATAAATGTGATGGGGTCACATTATTATATCTCATCAACACAAACAATTGTTTAAAATTGGTATACTAATCATTCTACATTGTTATATCCTTATTTTTTTTATTTAAACAAAAATACATTTTTTAATTATTTAAAATATAGAGAGACTTGTTGAGAGTCAGAGAGAGAGAGAAAGTTCGTCCTCCCCACCACAAACTACCAAGCACTACCGACCACCAACCATCGGGGTGGTTTTCATGATTAGTGGTTGTTGCCAAACGGACCACGGAGGTGTCCGTTATATGTATTTTAGATAGCGTAAATGTAACATCCCAAAATTTAAGACCAAAAATTTCGTTTTGATTAATTAAAAAACCGCTTAATAAATTTTGCTCAATCATTTAATAGCATTCTTAATAAAACAATTATCAGAGTTTTAAATCCCAAAGATCATCTAGTGCGGAAAACATGGTGTGATACGCTGTGATCGCCCCGAGATCCTTCCTTGGAAAAACGTTAGTACCTGAAACAAATAGTTGAAGGCCATAAACACGAAACTTACTGAGTTCCCCAGATACCACATACCATACATATCAACTGATCCATACATGCCATACATAACCATGAGCCATACATATATCATACCAAATAAAATACTATGTGCCAAAACATAGTCTTGCCATTATGCCACGGGCCGCCACGCGGTTTTTCTTGCCAAGCCGGGGGCCACTCCCTGGGTCTTACAGACAAGTGCCAAGGGCCACCCCCTGGTCTTCCATACAAGCATCACAAAGACAACTAGCATACATACTACTCTACTTGGCTAATCAACATACAATGTGCCAGGAGCCACCCCCTGGTCTTTCATACAAATAGCATACAGTGTGCCAGGAGCCACCTCCTGGTCTTTCATACATATTGCCTAGGGCTAACCCCAAGGTCTTCCTACCATACATAATAGCATACTGTGTGCCAGGAGCCTCCTCCTTGTATTTCATGCATAATGCCTAGGGCTAACGCCCGTGTGTTCTTACCATACATAAACTAAATGTGCCGGCATTGTGGCCGTAGACCCATACAAACAGTGAGGAGACTCACCTTGCACCGTTGAAGCTCTTGCTGATACCCTCCCGCCTGTTATCTGGCAACTCGCCGAACCGCTGCTCCCCTAGCTCACCGAGCTACTAATACCAACATAACACTTAGTCCCAAAGATGCCCTCCAGAAGTCAAACTAAGTCACCTCTAGTCAAAGTCAAAGTCAACGGTCAAAGTCAACCTCCAGTTGACATGACTCGCCGAGTTGGTCTACAAACTCGTCGAGTCCATACTCCTCTAACCCAAACCAACCCCCGACTCTACTTGTCGAGTCTAGCAAGAACTCGACGGGGTCTCCTTCAATCATACCATCGGGACTATCTTCATCCGACTCGCCGAGTTCATCCTTAAACTCGTCGAGTTCATCTCCCTCATAAGAATGTGTCCAATCTATGACTCGCCGAGTTGTAAGAACAACTCGTCGAGTCCATCTTCAAAGATTGGGAGATTGCCTTGGACTCGCCGAGTTCCTCCTTGAACTCGTCGAGTACGATGAAATTCGTGTCCACCATGGACCCAGACTGGCTGAGCCCTTACCAACTCAACTCATACCCTTAACAAAAGGGTTTTAGGGCAAGAAAATGGCCTGACTCGCCGAGTCCCACAAGTGACTCGCCGAGTCCCTCTATGTCCAACTCTATTCAGATGATTTCAGTCAAGCACAAGGCATCCAGGACCTAGATCTAACCTTCTAGGGTCGAAATAAAACGCAAAGCCTCTGCCTTTACATCCATGCATGGCCCTTTTTGCTCAAAAGGCCATAACAACCTCTCAAACCTTGCATGGAGAGTTCTAATGGCATAAAGCTTGCACCTTTATGCTATAACAGCCCTTAATGGTGCTAGATCTGAAAACACAAGCCCTTGGGATGTCCATTCCTCTCATGCTAGGGTTCTTGGACCAAAAACCCCCGAAAGGTGAGAAAGAAGAGATCTATGAAACCACAAGGCAAGATAGAAACTTGATTACCAGAAAATAATGAAGATGAAACAAACTTCTTGGATCTACCACCTTCTCCTTGAACCTCTAACCTTCTTCTTCTTCCTCTAGTCTCCAAGAACACTCTAAATCCTTCAATAATGACTCACACACTCAAAGAGAACACTAGGGTTTCGTGGGTTAGGCTCTGGGCAATGGAGGCTACAAATGAGGCCGATAGAATGAGAATGAGATGCTTAAATAGGTTACCATGTCCCGAAATTAGGGTTTCCCAACCCAGACCAGACTCGCCGAGTCAGTCCCCCGACTCGTCGAGTCGGCTACTTAATCCGCGATACGGAACTCCCTACTACTCGTCGAGTTCCTCCCTGGACTCGACGAGTAGACCTCTTGACTTGGGGTTTTTCCTTCCTTTCAAGGTCTTCTGAATTCGGGGTGTTACAACTCTCCCCCACTTAAACTAGACTTCGTCCTCGAAGTCCGCCACGGTCAACTACCTTAAAATCCCCTTACAGCTTTACCACTAATTATGCACTTCGCCCGTTCGGTTCAATCCTTGGAAATATCATCTTCAGAACAATCCGATTATTACTACCCTCGAGTACAACGCTCTTACCCAACCGCTAACCCTACCGGTACTTCCCGAGCACCCACACTTGACGTACAAGGGGTTCACCCTTTTACCTTGCGCTGGCAATGGCCTCCCCAAGGACACTCGCCCTAAGCACAAACCTCTCCTATCTTCATCAAGACCAACATTTTGCTGAAACTGCAATCCCGGCCACTCCCAGTGCCGGCCATCACGTCATTACTCTCTGAATAATTCCATTTACTATGTTCTAAAGCTGAAAACTCC